TTTAGCCTGTCCACCCATCTATCCACCCTCAGTTAACCCTCTTTCAGCCATTCACACCCCATGGGCTGACTGAAGGAGTCCCTGGGTAGTGCAAATGGTTGACAGGCTTGGCTGCTATCCTAAGTGTTGGCCATTTGAGTCCACCCAGAGGCACCTTGGAAGAAGGACCTGGTGATCTCCTTCTGAAAAATCAGTCACTGAAAACCCTGTGGAGCACAATTCTACTAACATACACGGGGTTTCCATGAGTCAGAATCAACCCAATGGTAACTGGTGGGGCCTCATTGAACCCGAGATAGGGAAGGGGGTGGTGAGGGCTGCTGACCTACTTTTCTGTCCCAGTGGTCATGGGAGTCGTCCTCATGTTCTTGTAACCCAAAGACCCTCAGTTTTCCATTTCTTAGGGTCACTTCTTCCTTGGTCTGAGCCCCTATTCTGTGTGGCTGTAGGAAGGCCAGCCTTTTTCTGATTCTTTGTCCCAGACATTCTGGAAGACCCTGAGAAATGGCTACGTGTTCTGCAGCTCCATTCTGTGGTCTTTGCCACTTGTGTTTGTGGTCCTGGGCTCTGCTGTTCCCCTATCATCCTGACTTTTCCAGACTGCTTCCTCTCCCCTTGGATGACTTGGTCCAAAGGTGGACATGGGCCTCCCTTAATTGGTAAAATAGCAAAGAGCAGGCTGGGACTTTTAGAATCATTTCTTGACACTTGGGTGGTGATAATGGCAACATTAACTGAAGACTCACTGTGCCCCAAGCACTGTGCGTTGGCACCCACGTTTACCCTCACAAGCCTATGAAGTGGGGACATATCCTATAGGTAAGGAAACTGAAGCACAGGTGAAATCCGAGTTAGCAGTGATGGAGCCACGATCTGACCCTGGCCGTCTGGCTCCATAACTTTGTGCATAAACCTATTGGTTAGACAGCCTATCCAATCAGAAGGTAGTTATCACACAAAATAGAAGATTTCAAACAAGAATTCAAGATTTCAAATCTCTGTACACACCCAGAATCCAGGCTCTCCCAACCTTTCCAGAGGCCCAGAAAGAAAACAAATACACACACACCCAACCGAACCCCCTGCCATCAAGTTGATCCTGACTTATAGTGACTTCTATTGGGTTTCCAAGCTGTAAATCTTTATGGAAGTAGATTGCTTCATCTTCCCATGGAGCAGCTGATGAGTTCCAACCACCTACTTTTTGGTCAGCAGCCCAACGTCTTAACCACAGTGCCACCAGAGCTTCTTACACACACAAACAGACACACACGTGTGCAATGTTACCCCTTGTAACCTGGGACTGGAGTCTCACTTTGCAATACAAAAGAATGCTCTCAAAGCAAATTCAGATTTCTACTCTGGGAAACAGAAAACTACTGGCATTAATGTAAACTAACAGAAAACAATGTTACTCCCACTGCTCCTAGGCATATGATTTCTGGAGTATTGGAGTTGTCATTGGAGCACTCTGGGTGCTCCCTCTCGTCAGGAAATGAATGGAGTGCTCCCACTGACAAGCTCTGAACAAATGTCAACAGAAGTCACTGACGTCCTGCCTCAGTGTCTTCTAACCTTGACACACATACTGGATTACATCATTGTGTCTGGGGAACATTCTAGATTCTCTTTTGTTCCTTTACTGTATTTCATGGAACATTTCTAAGTATTCATATCACCTCTGAAGAACAAGATTAAAAAAAATTAAACTCTAGGCCATTAAAAAAAACATCTTTTCAAGTGCTGGCTGTCTTCCATCTTCCTTCCAGATCCACTGTCCACTCCTCTCCCCTGTCCCATGGCCAGGAGCTGAGCTCCTGTGAGCTCTGGTGCCCTCTAGGTTCTGGCTGGGATCGGCTGTCAGGAGATAGGAGGTTGAGAGGACAGAGGGGGTGGGGTATTTACTTCTCCAGCTGCCTTCCTGTCACACCACCCCATGCTGGTTTCCATAACTCTCCCAGTACCTTTCATAGTCCTGTCATTCAACTCTCCTCAGTAACTTCTGTTTCCTGGGGTTCACACTGACTCAGTCCAGATTCCCTTCTAGATTTCAGTGAACAGACCTTGTGATGATTAAGTGCAAAGAGCACTCACTGTCCTAGGTGTTGGGAGACTTGGTTTTGAGTCCCATGTGCCATTGACTCACTGTGTGACCTTAAGCTAGTCACCTCACCTCTCTGAGACTCAGCTTCCTCCTCTTCCAATGGGTGGTTGGAATGAAATGATTCTTGAGAAAGGCGCTTTCTAAATTCCAAGGGCTGGTAAGAGGGACAAAGGGCTTGTCACCCAGTGAATCCAGTTCAGTGAAGTGGACCTGGATAGGTGACTGCAAAGTGCAGTTTGGGTGTAGGAGGCTCACAGTTCCTTGTTGCCTCCTGAACAGATGACAGTCCGGCTCCACCAGCCCCATTCGAACACCGGGTGGTGAGTGTCAAGGAGACCTCCATCTCAGCAGGTTACACAGTGTGTCAGCATGAAGTCTTGGGAGGGTAGGTGGGCCTTCTGTCTTGATGAGGGTGGGGGCACCTGGACAACTGAGCTGGCGTGTTGCTGGGTAATTGTAAGGAATTAGTTAATTGAGTTAGGGCCAGGGTGGGATATCCTATATAGCATAAGAGTGAATGGGATAGCCCACACAGAGTGGGATAGAGAGGATATTTGCCTAGGTGCAGGAGAGGCCACACAGTGTGGTGATATGAAGTGTAAGGTATGGTGAGATGTAGGTGTATCCACAGTATAGATAAGGGAAGTATACAATGGAGGGGACAGGAGAGCCCACATGGTATGGGGTAAAATGGGAATCTTTAGGGTATAGGATAGCCTACGCAGTGTGGATGTGAGGAGGTTTCTTGCTACAATGCAGAACCACAGTGAGGTAGGGTGAAGAGGAAATTTTGTAGGGTGTAGGATAGCCAACACAGTATGGGAAGAAAGAGATTATTTTCTAGATTTTAGGATAGTCTACATGGTATGAGGGTGATTACTAGGATGTCCTCAGGTTTCAGGACATCCCACATAATATAGGGGTGATAAGTAAGATGTTCTCTAGCGTACAGGATAGCCCATGTAGTGTGTGGGTGGGGAAGAGGGATAGGACCAGTCAGACCCAGGGTGCAGGATAGTCCACCCTGTGTGATGGTGAGCCCCTTCGGTTTTCAGCTGGCCCTGCCACCATGTTTCTACAGGGGTCGTTTTGGCCAGGTCCACAGGTGCACAGAGAAGTCTACGGGCCTCTCACTGGCAGCCAAGATCATTAAAGTGAAGAGTGCCAAAGACCGGGTGAGACATCTGCCCTGGGCCAGCCCTTCCCTTCTGGTCAAGCTCAGAAATTCCTTCACTTCCCTCAGACTCCATTTGTGCGTCACTTTGCCCTGGTCCCCTCCATGTTGAGCAGGAAATCTGGGCTGCCTTTTCAGCCTCTTTCCATGATTTCCTCTCTCCAGTCAGCAGATGACCTTGCAGCCCCTCAGCCCTGACCTGCCTGTCCATATCTGAGCATCAGACATGGCTCTGCCATGATGCATGTGTGACCCTGAGCCACAAGGCCCTTTCCTTCTTAGACCTCAGGTTTCCTATCTGTGAAATTGGTGGGTTGGACTAAAGTCCTTTCTGGTTTGTAAGAACCTGGCTTGGGTGGTGAGTCAGGGAGACCTGGTGTGAGAGCAGGAAATGGAAGGATGGGAGGTGGGTGTGTCCTTGGAGGCTCAACTGTCTCCTCTTCCTGACCCATTTGCTTGGAAATTATTTTCCCTGCTGGCTCCGCAAGGAGGATGTGAAGAACGAGATCAACATCATGAACCAGCTCAGCCACATGAACTTGATCCAGCTCTATGATGCCTTTGAGAGCAAGAACAACTTCACCCTCGTCATGGAGTAGTGAGTATCTTGGCAGGTGGGGCAGTGGCTCTTCCTCAGAGCAGGGTCACCGCCTTGTTTCCAGGGAAGGCTCTCCCTTTCCTATAATCTCTCACTAGGGCATCCAGGGCCATGTCATCCCTCTTTTTGGTTTGGGTGCTAGACTTCCATGGAGCATGAAAGGCAAAGCCATTTTGTCACAAAATAGTGACCAGTAAGCCTGGTAGCAAAGTGCCTAAGGCACTTGACTGCTAACCAGAAAGCTGGTGGTCCAAACCCACAAGCCACTCCTTGGAAGGAAGATTGGATGATCTACTTCCACAGTGACACTGCCTCTGAACCCCAACGAGGGGTCACTATGAGTAGGATCTGACTTGATGGCAGTGAGTTGGGTTTTTTGGTTTTTTTTTTGGTAAGCCTGATTTGACCTTCAGTTTTATGTTGGTTTAGTCTACACAATATTTGAAATTTTTGAATTAGTTGTTAACAGTTGAAACTCAGAAAATTTCACATTAAAACCTAGATTTCTGTTTTTATAAAAAAAAAATAAGATGACTATCAATGATGAGTCTGCATTTCTAGCTTGCAGCAGTATGCTGAAGCTCGTAATAGTTCCCTTTATTGACAAGGGCAACCAGACTCCCACTTGCCACAATCTCCATCACTCTCAACAGTGAAGCCACTCCTGACAGTGAGGCCAAGGGCTCAGAGACATTTATTTTTGTGCTTGTGTTATTGTTTTCCTCTTGAAGGGCTGAAGAGAGTCAAACACTTGTCATGTCCATATCGCTTTCAAAAGTGAGAAAACAAAAGATAGATCAAGAGATCTGTGTTTCAAGGAAACATTTTTGCTTATATCTGTCTCATTCATCCATTTAGACTTCCTGCCTTGTCGGTACTAGTTGGCAAATGCATTTACAACCTTGGTCTACATTATCCAAAATGAGCCTAGATTATCAGCATCAAAGACAATCTTGTATTCTCTTCCTTTTTACCACTTGCCCTTTGAGCCAGAAAAGGGCCAGAGCAAAAGTCCTAAGAAAATCCCAGATGGAAGTGGCAGTGGCCCATGGACCCAAGCACACATTTTCAGTTTCCTGGAACAGACTCTGTTAGCTGCTGGTCAGTTCTCTGAGACCCTAACTCAGTCCTATGTCTGCTTCTCCCTTCACCCTGGCAGTGTGGATGGGGGTGAACTCTTTGATCGAATCACAGATGAGAAGTACCACCTGACTGAACTGGATGTGATCTTGTTCACCAGGCAGATCTGTGAAGGCGTGCATTACCTCCATCAGCACTACATCCTGCACCTGGACCTCAAGGTCAGGCTCCTTCCTCCCTGGGCATGTGGTGGGGTGGAGCACCAAAGTCCCTGGTCTCTGGCATTGCCATGTCTGAGAGCTCCACCAGCAGATGCACATGGCTTTCATTCCTGAATCTCTATCATGTCCTAGGTCTGGAATCTTGGCAGACAAGTCATGCTGCCTCTCTGAGCCTCAGTTTTCCCATCTGTAAAATGTGCATAATTGTACCTCTTTAAGTGTTATTTGAAGGAGCTCTGGTAGTGTTGTGCCTAAGGCACTTGACTGCTAACCAGAAGGCTGGTGGTTCAAGCCCACCAGCCACTTTTCGGAAGGAAGGTTGGGCAATCTACTTCCGTAGTGATACTGCCTCGGAAACCCAAGGAGAGGTCACTATCAGTCAGCTCCGACTTGACAGCACATAACAAAACAACAAGTGTTATTTGAAGATTAAGTGATAAATGATCTTTCTTCTTTAAAAATGTTTTTAACATTAGCTTAAGCATTTTAAAATATAAACATAACAATATATAAACAATACCAACTCCAAAACCAGACTCACTGCCATCGAGTCGGATATGACTCAGAGTGACCCTTCTTTGGATTTCCGAGGGGGTACCTCTATAGAAGTAGATTGCCCAACCTTCCTTCCGAGGAGTGGCTGGTGGGTTTGAACTGCCAGCCTTCTGGTTAGCAGTCAGATGGCTTAGGTACTAGGCCACCCAAGCTCCCAAGTCAGCAATACTTTGTAAACATCTTTCCTCATTCTCTTTAAGGGTGTGTGACATTTCACTGAATGGACGCATTACACCTTCTTTTCAGTATTCTATTGATGGATATTTAGGTTGTGCTCTATTTTTTAGTAAGTGTGATACTAGGAGTGTAATGCACATAAAACTCTGGACACAGTGCCTGGCTGGTAGTAAGCACTCATTATGTGGGAACTATGGAGGGGTCGCTGTGAGTCGGGTCTGACTTGACAGCACATACCAACAGCATTCCTGTGATATCCCACTCTGCTGGGCAGAAGGGTGTTTTTCCACAGCCCCTTTCAAGAGAGGGGTAAATTTCAGTGGTTCACCATGGGAGATGGGAATTAAGTTGGTTGGATCTGTAGGGGTGCATTTTGCTGCTCCTGACCATCTGTCCTGGTTGGGGCACTGAGAAGAATGGTGGAGGTGGTGGAGAGTTGGTCTCAGGCTTTCCCTACTCACTGGAGCTAATTCCAAGGCTTCCTAGCTGTGGAAGTCCAGGGATCTTTCCTGTGGCTTTAGGTCAAGGAATAGCCTTTGGGGCAGCTCCCATGACTCTTCAGCATAGAAGTCATCATTGCTAAGGTCCATTTCCAAGCCAAGAATGAGGCTCATGTTGGTTCAACACCTTCCTGGCTACATATCTTGGTTAAGTTCTTTGAGCTCATTATATGCAAACTGGGAAAGAATAGTAATACCTACCACCCTAAGGCATCTGACTGTTAACCAGAAAGAAGGCTGGTGGTTCAAACCCACCAGCCACTCCTCGGAAGGAAGGTTGGGCAATCTAGTTCTGTAGAGATACCACCTCAGAAACCCAAGGAAGGGTCTCTATGAGTCAGAATCGACTGGACAGCAGTGAGTTTGGTTTTTTTTGGTTACCACTTATGAGTGTTGTGTGGATTATAACATGGAGAAAGAGCTATACTGTCTGATAGGGTAACACCAGCCACAAGTGGTCATAGAGCACTTGGAATATGACTACTGTGACTGAGGAACTGCATATTAAATTTTATTTAATTTCAATTATTTAAAATGTAAATTTAAAAACTAATACTTGATTCCATTATTGGGAAATGTTAAGTACGTTTGAAGCAACTTGGACATGTGATGTACCTTTTCAGCTACAATGGATTTCAAAGACTTAATATGAGAAAAAAGAATGGAAAATATCTCACTACAAGTTTTATATTGATAACCTATTATAATGATACTATCTTGGATAATTGGGGTTAAATAAATTGTTACTAAAATTAAGTTGTAGAAAGCACTTTGATAAAAGAAAATGAAAACACAATTTTCCAAAACTTATGGAATGCAACTAAAACAGTGTTTGAAGGAAATTTATAGTTGTAAACAACAATATTATAAAAGAAGAAAGCGCTCACATCAGTAATCTAAACTTCCACATTAAGAAACTAGAAATGGAAAAGCAAGTTCAAAACAAGAAGATGAAAGGAAATAATAAAGATTAGAGTAGAAGTGTATGAAACAGAATAGAAAAATGATAGAGAAAACCAACAAAACTAAAAGTTCCTTTAAAAAATCAACAAAATTAATAAAACTTTAGTTAGATTGACCAAGAAAAAGGAAGAAGACTCAAATTACTAAAGTCAGACTGAAAGAGGGGACACCACTACCAATCATACAGAAATTAAAAAAAAAAAAAAAGGATTATAAGGGAGTACTGTGAAAAATTGTATGTCAATAAATTATAGGCAGTCTCCTGTAATGCCTGATAACTCATACTTGCTCTTTAATGTTATGTAAATTTGCTCTCTCTTTGAAATGATTGAACCAAACCCTGTTGTTGTTATGTGCCGTCAAGTCGGACCCGACACATAGTGACCCCTCCTTGGGTTTCTGAGACAGTATCACTACGGAAGTAGATTGTCCTATCTTCCTTCTGAGGAGTGGCTGGAGGGTTTGAACCACCAGTCTTCTGGTTAGCAGTCAAATGCCTTAGGCACTATGCTACCAGAGCTCCCGAACCAACCCTAGTCACAATAAATTCTTCATCACAATCACCTTCCCTTGCAGTACATGCAGCATTTAAACATTAAAAAGTCTTCAAGCCTTTTCTTGCACCAAAGTAAGGCTAAATAAGAACTTGTGTGCACTGTTCTGACTTACCTACAAATACGAATTAAAGACACACTTAGGAACAGATCTCATTTGTAACCTAGGGACAATGTTGGATTATCCAATAAGCAAGGTAAATATGGGCTTACTTGTGCTTACTTACTAATCTGTAGTGAACAATTTCACATTTCTCAACACATCACAGATTTGCTTCTAGATACTATTGGCATCTTTCTCTTTCCCAGCCCCACAACATTTTCCTACAAAATCAAAGCCTCTTCAAATTTACAGTTCCTGACTGGTGGCATAGTGCATAAGGCATTTCACAGCTAACCAAAAGGCTGGAGGTTCAAACCCACCACACACTCCTCAGAAGGAAGGTTGGGGAATCTACTTCCGTAATGATACTGCCTCAGAAACCCCAGAAAGGGTCCCTATGAGTCAGATTCAACTCAGTGACAGTGGGTCTGGTTTGGTTTGGGCAGGGACAGAGTGCTCAGTAAGCAAGGTTAGCCTGCACTTACTTGTGCTTGCTTACTGATCTATAGTGAACAGACGTGGTGAAACTGTTCACTACAGGTTAGTATGTGAGCACAAGCAAGTTCATGCTTACCTTGCTTACTGAGTAATCCACTTCTGCCCACGACTACCTGGATGGAACTGTTGTTATAGGCAGTTTCTAGGTCTTGTTATTGTTATTTGCTTGTTTATTTGTTTAGTGACTGGCTCGATTATTTTAGTGAAATTGGAGTTGGCTTGAGGACAACTGTATTTTTGTTGTTGTTCTGATCTGTCCCTCCCCATCATTGAGCCTCTGATGTTGCTCTCAGGAGCTTTGTGTATGTCCACAATCATCTTGGGATGGCAGTGGTACTGCTAGAGCTCTCTTCTACTCTTTCCTTAAACTTGCCCAAATGTGGTCCACTAATTGCTAGCCAATTGTTCTATTTTTTTTTTT